CTAGATGCTTAATTTGTTATCAAAGCCTGGGTTTTGTTATGTTGTTATTGCTTGTTGCTCTTGATTGCTATTCTTTGTGAGCTTGTCACGAAATAGGCTCCTTTGTTCCTGTCAACATGTGATGGAGGGATGTTCCATGGTCTTTATATTCAAGTTGAGCTTTTCCACATATAATTAATTGGTTTTAGGTTCGATGCATCACATATATATTACTTTTTTTTCTCTCTTTTTTATTCATGTAGAACAGCATATGATTCGAAGTTTGTCCTCAACTTGATTTAAAGAGATCATTCAACCCATTTTGTTTGTCCTCAACTTCATGTATATTTATTGTGGCGTTGTTCGTTCATGCACTCTTTTAACTTTCTACGATGGCCTTGTTCTTGCTTTAGCATTTCATATCTCATTTTTTGCTTTTTGGTTACCAATAAATGGTCTAATCCCTGTATTGATAAACTCATCTTGGTCACCATCTTATCCGTTCATGCATTTTCTTTTGTGATCCTGTTAAATTGATCTTTAGTTTTCTTAGATCTCAACTTGCATTTGCATTGCAAACCCATCAAAACAAAAAAAAGGGGCTATGTGTACCTTCAATTATCTCACTTTTTATGCAATTCTGACAGGATTTCAAGTTTGTCATTCGTTGGGTGGTGGTACTGGATCTGGAATGGGAACCCTTCTTATTTCCAAGATCAGGGAGGAGTATCCTGATCGTATGATGTTGACATTTTCGGTCTTCCCTTCTCCCAAGGTATCCGATACAGTTGTTGAGCCATACAATGCTACCCTTTCTGTTCATCAGCTTGTGGAGAATGCTGATGAATGTATGGTGTTGGACAATGAGGCTCTGTATGATATCTGCTTCCGTACACTCAAGCTTGCCACTCCAACTTGTAAGTTGTGATCTATCACTCTAAATGCCTAGTCCATGCGGTATAGAGATTTTAGCTTGATGCAGCAAAAGTTTCAACATTTCTTTTCAACAATCTAAAACTAAAATATGCAGTAGCACTAATTTGATAAAACCACTTTACCTTTCTGATTTGGGTTTTCGTGAACAAGAATTGACAAAACTTTATTATTTAATTGTTGCTTGCTTGCTCCATTATTAATGAACCAAGGGCACCTTTGCACATATATGTGTTATTTAGTTGGGTTGCATTCATAAGTCTTTCTTGCCCAGATATACATCCACCTTTTGTCCCTACAAACACATGTCAGGAATAAATGCTCTTAGTATTTTTTTTTTCTATGATTGGGGATAATAACTGCTATTTTCTTGTGCTGCATTTTCGAAACTATCCAGTAGCTTCTTGTAATGGAATTAATTTCGTACGAGCTCTGGTTTCTACACTTATGATCTTCCTTTAATTTGACTTAGTTGGTGACCTTAACCACCTCATATCTGCTACCATGAGCGGTGTGACATGCTGCCTGCGGTTCCCTGGACAGCTAAACTCCGATCTCCGCAAGCTGGCTGTTAACCTTATCCCCTTCCCTCGACTACACTTCTTCATGGTTGGATTTGCTCCTTTGACGTCCAGAGGATCACAACAGTATCGGGCCTTGACTGTGCCTGAACTGACTCAGCAGATGTGGGATGCCAAAATGATGTGTGCTGACCCACGCCATGGCCGTTACCTAACTGCATGTGCAATGTTCCGTGGCAAGATGAGCACTAAGGAGGTTGATGAACAAATGATTAACGTCCAGAACAAGAACTCATCGTACTTTGTGGAGTGGATCCCTAACAATGTAAAGTCTAGTGTGTGTGACATCCCACCAAAGGGTCTGAAAATGTCGTCCACTTTCATTGGCAATTCGACCTCGATTCAGGAGATGTTTCGGAGGGTAAGTGAGCAGTTCACAGCAATGTTCAGGAGGAAAGCTTTCTTGCACTGGTACACCGGTGAGGGAATGGATGAGATGGAGTTCACTGAAGCTGAGAGTAACATGAATGATCTAGTTCAGGAGTACCAGCAATACCAGGATGTGACCGCTGATGATGAGTACGAGGAGGAGCCGGAGGAGGAAGAAGAGGAAGTTGGAGCTTGAGGGAGGAGTCTTTTTACAGATTTTTTGTTTGTTTTAAATGGTCTGAAATATGTATTTTAATTGGATTGGGTGTCGTTGGGTGATATATTTATGTTGTGGAGGGGGTCAAATTGAGATTGACAACCATGTGCATTCATGTTGTGGCACTTTGTATTTGTGATGGTTCTATTGTTTCTCTGTATTTGCCTGTATAGTTTGGTGATGAATGATGTATGTTTGTATTTAATAGAATACGACGATAAAATAAAATTATGATTGGAGTGGTAAATGTTTATTTTGCTTGGTTTTAATCTTTAAAGTTGGCATTTCTAGAAATATTACATATTTTATTGAAAATTTTAATATATATGATATTTAATCTTTAAGAATCATAAGTTATGTGTATGAACAAAACAACTTTATTAGTTAAAAGAGATTTTTGTTGTTCTTGCAAGTGTCATGCAATGACGGAGTTATGATTAAATTAAGAGGGGTAAATTGTTTAACTTTAAGATCAATAGAATCTTAAAAAGTAATTAAATCATAAAAAAAGTAAAAGATTAATGATTTAATTCTATTAAAATTTAAAATTCAAATGTCTTAAAAACAATTAAATAAAAAAATTATTTCAATACTTAATTCCATTAATTTTAAAACTAATAGAACAAAGTAAAAGATTAATGATTTAATTCTATTAAAATTTAAAATTCAAATGTCTTAAAAACAATTAAATAAAAAAATTATTTCAATACTTAATTCCATTAATTTTAAAACTAATAGAACCCAAAAATAATTACGTCATAAAATTTTGGGAAGAACAAGGATTTAATTGTAATAGTTTCAAAATGTCCAGTGGTCTAAAATATAAATAGACCGTCAAAGTTAGGGGCAGCTTTCCCTCCATTCATAACCCGGGTTCGTCCTTGGTCTCAAATTTGATTATTGTATAGGTAAGAATGTATGAACGTTTATTGTTAAATAATTAAAAATTTTAAATAAATATTATTTTAGATTCACCCTAGATTAATGAGAAAAATCGTAAGTTATGTTAGGTCTATATATCACTTTACTTTAAATCACGTATGATGGACTTGAGTTATGAATAAGTCAATTGTCAACATGTTATATTCAATGTAAGCCCTCGCAGAGACCGATAAGAGTCTTGATCCTTGTCAACTATTTTTTCAATGTTAGTTAAATATTGAAAAAAATATTTTTGGGAAATAAATAAAATAAGTTCTATCGTCCCCTCAATTAAAAAACAATAGATACTATTATATGATCATTGATCATTAAATAATATTGTGTCCCTTCTATTTTATTTTGACTCACTTTAATAAATTTTTAGTTTTGTATCTGATTCTATTATAATACTCGTGTTGATAATGTTTATCCTTCACCTTTGATAGTTTATTTTGTATATTTTATTTCTTTAGAGTTATTTGATTAGATTTACAAATTTTTTTGTAAGATTTTATTTCACTGTTTAATTTTCTTTCATTATTTAACGAATTTTTTTATATTTCTTTTTTTTCAATCAAAATTAACTAATATTATTATTATTATTTAATAAATACTGTTATTGATTTCTTCTACGGTTTGCGTTTTCAAGGCTGATTGTTTTCATAAGAAATGGTGCGCCCATTAATGACTTTATTTGGTATTATTTAGCGAAATGAAAGGAAATAAAAAAAATTAAAGGTTTAATGGTATCAAAGCTCTTATACTTTTGAAAAAGATCAATTAAGTCTTTAAATTAATTTTACAGTCAATTAAATCTTTAAATCCAAACATTTAATTAATATGGGCCTTTGATCAATGAAATCCAATTCTGATGAGTTGGCTCGTCATCCATGCCATGTCGACCGTTTAATGACAGATGCATGCATGCTGACAGTAATTCTTGAAGTTTCCTTTATGCAAATCGGTCCAACAGACTTTGAATTCAAAGAAATTAGCATAGAAATCGAAACCATTTTGAAACAAATTGAAACCTAAAAGCAAAAACCGAAAACCTATTGAAGTTAATATGATTTTTTTTCCTGAAATTGATAGGCGAATCTATAAAAGTATTCCTTCAAGTCTTCTTTTGCATCATTATATCTACCACGACTCATTTCCGGGAAAATCCAATGCCAAGCACAAACCTTTTTCTTTAGGAATAATTTCACAAGTGAGCCTAATTATCTTCATTCTTACCAGAGTAATAATAACACGCATGAGAAGTCTTCATTTTCATGACCATCCTTGCAGATCTCTCTATATCTGTGGAAAGTGATAGATAGATCATCAGCATATGTTTGGGTTGAAATTCCTTCTCTATACCTAAAACACCTTAATGCACAGCTAAAATAACTCCAAGTGCTAGTTAAGGGCCAGATATTAATTCGATAAATACGCCTAACTATTCGTACAATTTCGTTTTGGTCACCCAACTATTTTTTTCAAAATCATATTAACTTTACGTTTTGGTTCATTTGGTCACCTTCCGTTAAAATTAGCAGTGATGTTGAAGTGTCATCATATGGTAATGCCACATCATCATTTTGCTGTTTTTAACGGCAGGTGACCAAAATGAAACCAAAACATAACATTAGGTATGATTTTGAAATTAAAATAACTGGATGACCAAAACAGAATTGCACAAATAGTGGTGACTAAATACATAGTTTACCCTATTAATATCTACAGCTTAAAGCTCAGCATAAGAGTGCTTGACATAACAAAATCAGGCAAAATAATTCATGAACTATACACAATGCATGATTGCATTGAAAGGGATTACATTATCTCCAACACATTTCCATGTGTCATTTATCGATTGCAAAAGGTCGATTTATCAACGGTTGACAATGCAGAGTCATTGTATGCATCACCTTAAAGGAGGCTTATTCTACATGACAAGCACAAACCTTTTTCTTTAGGAATAATTTCACAAGTGAGCCTAATTATCTTCATTCTTACCAGAGTAATAATAACACGCATGAGAAGTCTTCATTTTCATGACCATCCTTGCAGATCTCTCTATATCTGTGGAAAGTGATTAGATAGATCATCAGCATATGATGTTTGGGTTGAAATTCCTTCTCTATACCTAAAACACCTTAATGCACAGCTAAAATAACTCCAAGTGCTAGTTAAGGGCCAGATATTAATTCCGATAAACTACGCCTAACTATTCGTACAATTTCGTTTTGGTCACCCAACTATTTTTTTTCAAAATCATATCTAACTTTACGTTTTGGTTCATTTTGGTCACCTTCCGTTAAAAATTAGCAGTGATGTTGAAGTGTCATCATATGGTAATGCCACATCATCATTTTGCTAGTTTTTTAACGGCAGGTGACCAAAATGAAACCAAAACATAACATTAGGTATGATTTTGAAATTAAAAATAACTGGATGACCAAAACAGAATTGCACAAATAGTTGGTGAATAAATACATAGTTTACCCTATTAATATCTACAGCTTAAAGCTCAGCATAAGAGTGCTTGACATAACAAAATCAGGCAAAATAATTCATGAACTATACACAATGCATGATTGCATTTGAAAGGGATTACATTATCTCCAAACACATTTCCATGTGTCATTTATCGATTGCAAAAGGTCGATTTATCAACCGGTTGACAATGCAGAGTCATTGTATGCATCACCTTAAAGGAGGCTTATTCTACATGATTGTGATGCTGATTATTTAACTGGTTAAGAATTGAAAAAAGAGTTATGGTACTTACATGTGCTGTGCTAGAAATGTCAATGGACATTTTTGAGCAACTTCTTCTGCTGATGCTGCAGCAAGGTTTAGGTCTTTAGCCTGCATTGTTAAAATGAAGATGTTTATCAGTCCACAGCCCCCTACTTTTTGGGGTGGTCCAAGGTTCCATTTGGGTCGCTTCTTGGGAGTGCCAAAACTTCTTGGTAGCCTCCGTTACTTAAGTAAATAATTTACAATCAATAGATAAATACACCTTTATTTATGTATTGCCTAACCTCTATTTGCTTGGCACATTTTTCCATTTTCCTTTTACTTCTGGATATTTTTTTAAAAGAAAGACAAAAGGCACGTTTGGGTGATTTCATGTGACACTTAGATCCTCCTGATTCAAATTGGGTCGGGTTGGATTAGGGTATTACATAACATCCTTATTTTTAAAATAATATTAATGATAATTGATTATTATAGTTTAATTTTAAAGTGAAATGGACCTAAAATTTAAATAATAATTAGAAATATTTGATGATCTAAATTATATTGGTTTGTTTTTTTTTGTTTGTTTTTATTAATCTGAGATAAATATAAGGTATCATCAGTTCAAAAACAACATTAATACATTTACCACCGAAGTCGTTTGGTTTGTACATTAGTTTGTTTGTCTTAAGAGTATTATATATGAAAATGCATACTTTTATGTTATTAAGAATTATTGGGTGTGATCTCCGTAGTAAAGGAATTATTGTTATTCCTTGAGTATCTAGGTTTTAGTACCATGAATGTTAGGGATGTGAGTGTTCTCAATGTCAAATGGTTGAGAGTTATCTTTGAATAGACATTACCTTGTACTTATCACATATTAATAAGAAAGGATTATTGGGTGTGGGAAAGAATATACATTAAATCTATTCAATAATAAGCATTAACGCAAGTTTTCTCTTAATATATTTGTGTCGCATTCTTCATTTTATTTGATTTTTGTTTAGTTGATAACGACACTAATTTTAATGTTGGCTTGCAAGATATTTTGGTTCTCTTATCACTCCTTTATCACTTCGTAAAACATCTAAATTGACAGAGACAATGAGTCTTCATTTTCGTTTTTTTTCGTATCTTTGGATTTAATATTTTTATTTTTGTATGAGTTTTTTGTTGACTATAGTCCCTATTTTCTCTATACTTGGGTTTGTTGTAATATTGATTCATTCCTTTATTTTTATTTATGAAATCCAATTGTAAAAATGAGTGTTGTTTTCTATAGAGATTCTAGATTCGAGCAACTGTGCATTTTCAACAGCTAATAAATATTCTAAACATATACTACCTCGTAATCCCCCTAAACTATTACAAAAACTATATTATTGGGTATGCACACATATTACCCTATTCACCTTAAATTATTAAAAAAATGATAAAGTATATAAATAGTCCCCAACTATAGGATAATGCTTTTTTGAATTCTCTTACTATTAAAAGTTATAAAATGATCATTAGACTATTCATATGTTCCAAACTCGCCATTTTTTTAAAAAAAAATACGATCGTTTGAGTTAAACGTTAGCATGTTGACCGATATATGATAGTCGTTTCAGATTTTGTGATCGGATTTTATTTTTCTCAACCAACAGGTTAATGTCTAGCTTAGACTGTCGTCAAACTTTTAATAGAAAAAGACGAGTTTGGAACATATAAATAATAGGGTGACCATTTTGTAACTTTTGATAGTCGATGGACTTAGCGAAGCAGCACCCTATAATCAAATGATCATTTTATAACTATAATTAGGAGACTCAATAAAGAATTGCCCTATTTTTGGGGAACCGTTTGTGTAGTTTACCCTAAAAGTTATTGGTTTATTGAGCCCTAACAAATTACAAAATAATTATTGTAAAGTAGAAATAAGAGCGAAACAAACAACATTTTTAACCAAAAATCACCCCTAACAACGAAATATTACCTATCAGACACTCTTTCTACAAATATTACGATCTAGCATATGTTCTGACAAAGAGCGGATCATGAAGCGTGCCTTCATAGGGTTCTGTCCGAGCTGGCGCCACGTTGGAAGGCGCGGATCATGAAAGCGCCTTTGTAGGGAAATATAACACATATGGAAAGGCGTGTATCATAAGGTGCACCTTCCATTATTCACCTTGAATTATTGTGCACTCCATTATTACTCAAGCCTTAAATCTAGATTATTCACCCATCCCCCTCCCCTATAAATACCCTCGAATACAAACATCAAACCACACCAAAATTACTTTCATATTCTTCCTTCTATCAAGCTAAGTAGATTTTGTTATAGTTTTTAAAAGGTAAAATTATTTTTTTATTATATTTTATTTATTTTATATTTAATTATTTGACCAAATTTTATTGTACTAATTATTTTTGTATTATTTAAATTGTGTTATTTAAATTATTGTGAATTTTTTTTATTTTTTTAGCATTAGTTTATATTTTAATTCATGTACTATTCATTTAATTAGGTGTATTTCAATTATTATTTTTGTAGATATAGGACTCTCAATCTTTCAAACTCTAAAAAATGAGGTGTATTTCAGCTATTGTTTATTATAATGGAGAAATTCTGGAAGATAAAATCGGCATTGTCTTCGCATCAAATCATTCTTTCAGAATATCCTTCAATAGATACATCACTCTTGAGGAGTTGATCACTCAAATTTCAAGGAAGGTTCATATTGGAAGTACTAGAGGATTGTTCTCACTTTAGTACAGATTTCCAATTGCACTATTTCCGTTAACTTATATAGCGTTCGAACTCTCCAACGATAATGATGTTGCTATAATGTTTGATGCTCAGAATTAAAATTCAGACACTGATACACAATTGTATGACACATTTGTTGAAGTGTCTGCAGTTTATGGTATGTCATTATGCTCCCACTATGGGTTGGCTCAACAAGCTGATCAAGTTGACAACCCAACTCAAGTAATGTGTAATGATTTTAACTCGTTAATGGAAAATCTACATCCTGGTACCATCCCATCAAGTTCAATGGGGAGACATTCATCAGGAACTTATTACAATCTCCACCGATGTGGCTCCACAAACAATCCGTATAGCAACATCGCTTCCAGTTCAAGGGAAAACATTTATCTGGTAATTCTTTGACCTGAATATAAAGATGCTCTCGACACATCAGTCTGTTCAGTACCCATTTGACACGATACGTTCAAGTCCCAAGAAAAGGCATTCAACTGCGAGCTTCTTCGACCTCAATGTGGAGATGTCTGTGGCACAACACTCAGTTCAAAACCCGTGTGAAACGATGCCTTCAAGTTCAAGTGGAAGACATTCAACTACCAGTTTGTTCGACCTAAATATCGGCATCATAGAGGAACTCTCATCTCCACCAGAAGAACCTCTTCATGAGCCAGGTGTGGATGGTGCTGAAACTGGACTATTCGTTGAGCCAAAATCACCGCAGTTCAACATGGACTCCGATGATGATGATGTAGATAGAGTTCCCACAAATATGGTACACACAGAATCTCCAGCACACATGTTTGAAGCTGACTATGGTGCAATGTACGGCCATAATTTGCGAATATGCCTAATGTTGGTGACTATAAATTTAACTCATCAGCCAATGATAGTGAGTTATATATCGGAATGAAGTTTCCATTCAAAGAAGAATCGATGATTACAATTAAGAATTACAATATTCATAATTTTATTCACTCCAAAGTCGACCGATCCATGTAACATTCTCCATACCGGGTTAGTGATTAAAATATGAAATTTAAAAATTCAGTGACCAAATTGGATAAATTAAAAAGTTTAAGGACTTTATTGAAATGTTTTGTGTAGGATTAATTAGCAAATAAGGAAGAATTACAAGGGCGAAAGAGTCATTTAGTAGGGAAGTAATTAAATATTAGTTGAGGATAATTATATATCCACGTGGAAAGCTATTGGGAGAACCAAAGTTTCCAGATTTCTCTTCGTCTTCATTCTTCTTCTCACCGTGAAGCCAAGCTAAAGGTGAGTTTTCTTGTTAGTGAAATTCTTGATGAATTTATGGTTGATTTATGACCATTAGACAATAGTTAAGCTTAAAGGAAGTTTAATTTGGTTTAAAACCATAAGATGAGGAGTACATGAAGAATTAAAAAAAGGAAGTAGAAAAGTGAAATCTTGGAATAAAGTTCATAATAAGAATTGGAAGTGGGATTTGACTTGTCATCAAGCTAATTAAGGAATAGGAAGTGTTAGAATAGGGATTAGAACATGTTGGAATTTGAATGAGATTCTTAAATTCTACAGGGAAGATTGGATTTTTAAGTTTTAGAGGTATTGAATGGATAATAATTAGTTTTAGTAAGTGTATGCAAGTTAGGGATATGAAAGGAGGAGAATTATGTAGTGTTGAGAGGATTATGAAGGGATTTTCGTGCTCAAAATAACAATTCTGGGTTAAGTGCATCGATACACATTCAATGTGCACCGATGCACTCTCAAATAAATGAACATCGAATGCAATTAGTGCATCGCTGCATAAGGATAGCATCGATGCACCCCCTTGAGAAGAAAACATCGAATGTAACTTGTGTACCGATGCACGGGTAGTGCATCGATGCACACATTAAGGAGTGCATCGATAAACTATAGATTGCATCGATACATACCTTTATTAAGAGATGAAAATAACTTTTCTTTTAACCGAAGGAATGCTTTAGAATATATTAATTAGTATATGAAGTATCAAGTATTACTATGTAGATACAGAGCTTAAACAAGTTCCAAAACAATTGCCCAGTAAGATCGATCGAGGGAAAGGCAAAGAAATATAGGTGAGTGCATATGTATAACATGATTATCATAGTGTATCCAGTTCTAGACTTGTGATAAGTCTAGATTCAATACATTGATGCATGATTCATTTTATATTATGAAATGTAATAGAAATTCATACTATGTGCATTGTGTAATATGTTTTAAATGAATATGTATGCAAAGTTATATGAACTATGTGATGAAGGTAAGGAAAAGGATATGTCTATGTTGTATACTATGTAGATTGAGAAAAACCCATGTTATGTAGATGAGAACTATAGGTATAGTTGGCATGCCA